CTGCTCCAGGCAGTGATAGGACACAGGGTAGATATTCAGGGCCAGAACTAGCTACATACAGATTCAGGGCACTGGAAGCAGGAATGGGGACAGAGACACAATCCTGGAATAAAAGCACTGATGCAGAACAAGGTGCTTGGCCAGGCTAGGGCATGAGGTAGCAGTAGCAATAGGACAAGGGGTGATGGGCTCAAACTGAAACAGGGGAAGTTCAGGTTAGATATAGGGAAGAAGTTCTTTACTGTGAGGGTGGTGAAGCACTGGAACAGATTACCCAAAGGCAGTGTTCAAGGCCAGGCTGGACAGAGCTTTGGGCAACATGGTCTAATGTGAGGTATCCCTGCCCACGGCAGGGGGTTGGAACTGGATGAGCTTAAGGTCCTTTCCAACACGAACCATTCTATGACTCTATATATTTGCTCCTTGGGCTTACATAGAGGGAGGGGAGGGCAGGCAGATGCATGTATGTATACTTACATAGGGAAACAAGATGAATAAACCTATGTGGTAGGAGAAGGAGGGACTGCTTTGCCACCATGCTGAATTTGGGGCAGAAGGGAAGAGGAAGTGGAACAGCATTCATAGGAGGTCATTCAATCCAATTCCTGCTATGAGGAAAAACAACAATCTCATCTGAGTGAATTTTTGCTCCATTCACCACTCTCTAGCAGCCGAACGCTGGCAAAGACCAAACAGCCACAGCTGAAATTCAGAGTTTTAGAGAAGATAATGGACCCTCAATTCAAACAACCCAATAGCCCTGAGAAGAGGCCACTGTGCAAGCTGCTCTCTCCTGCTCAGTGTATACCATTTCTGAAAGCCACACCAACCCAAAAGCTCACCCTCCCCATGTGCCATGCACAGATCAAAGCATTAATAGTGAATTTCCTAGGAGTTTTCAGTTCCTCTATGACATTTTCATGCCAACTTTAACTCTGCCCAGCATCATTGTTATAAACACTAATTGAACATAATGTGATCTGGCAAATTCACACTGGTTCCAGTTTATAGGTAGGAGTGGGGGTCAAGGTCTCAAGAAAGCAACAAACTCGGGTGAGAAAAAGTGACTTACCCAGAGGCTTAATTTCAGGTACAGTACTCACAGGTTCTGTCCTAATCGCTGCACTCGTAGCCTATGCATTGACAGGCCTTGCAGAGGCTTCAGAGGATTCTTCTCCACTTCTTTAACAAGATGTTAATCAAACATTTCACAGTGAATATCAACCAAACAGAATTGGGCCTGTGCAAGCACAGCTCTCCCACTGTCATTTAAAAAGCAGCATACAGCAGGGTGGGTATTATGGCAGTACAGTCATGCTGATGGATAGAGTCCCGCTGCCCTCCTGTCATACAAGGAGCTCTGCAGTGACCAGCATTCGGTTCCCTGATGCAAAGCATACTGCCCTACAGCTTCCACTTTCATTTGAGAAGATGCACCTCATATTTGAGGAAGAGGGAGAAACTGTCATCCAATTGCTAGGACTTGTGTGTGGGGAGTCCCTACTATTTGGTGCACCCACTGTCCAAAATGAAGTAGATTTCCATCAAATCCAAAGAGCTACTAACAGCTCTGGGAGGTGACAAAGCCTTGCAGGAGCTCTTGGAAGAAGCAGCAGTTGGTCAAGAAAGGAATTACCCCACAATGTGCAACTTCCTTTATCAGCAGGTTTTACTTGCACTAAGCACCTGAATGCTGCTTGTGCTTGATTTACCTGCTTTACAGCTCTGTCACAATGTTAGAAAAGGCATCACCTTGTCCTGGCATGGCTGGTAAGCAGAGCAGCTGGAAAACAGATTAGGGATCAGGAGTCCTATACTGCAAGATGTGGCATCTCAGAACTAACAAGCCTAAGCCAATACTAAACAAACCACCTAAGCACTCCAGCTTTGGGATCAGGTCCATGGCTCAAACCATAGCTGAATCAAAATAAAGCTGAACTAGATTTTAAGTCGTTTCTGAACCTACAGACTTCCAAGTAATCCCATCTGCATGGCTCAGTCAGCCTTCTCTTCAATGAGTCCTCATGGCATTCCCCATTGTAGTTTTGCCAAGCTCCTGCATGGATTATACAAAGTGCAGAGAAATGAACAAAAATCGCTTGCTTTTAGCTGCAGAACAGATTGCAGAATTGTCATATCTTAGCTACCTTTCTGTAACAGAAGTATGGAAGGGAAAATGAGCTCAAAAGGAATGCTTCAGTCTTTCTGGCCCATATTACCTCCTCCCTCCCTAAGATGGGGATAAATCTGAGCAGTTGCATCTTTGTCATCTTCACTAGAAAAGGGAATGGTAAGAATAAGTCACTCACGAACCACTTTTCCAAGTATGACATTAGATTACCTTATATTATATATAGTTTCACCAGTAAGTTGAGGTTCCCCCTCCACCCTGCAGCAAAGATTGTTCACTGAAGTTGCTCTTAAATAAGCAATGGATGAGGACTAAAGACCTTTATTCACCAAGAGAGAATTTGATCACAAGTATTTGTCTTGTCTCTGTCATCTAGCATCTTGTAGGTTACACAACGCTGGAAAAGGCAGGAGTTGAGGCTTGGAAACAGTGTGTTTCCAGCAGAACTTCAGTTAAATTTAAGCCTGCTGCAGCTTGAAAGAGTAATTTTGCCCCACAGCTGCTTAATAGGCAATACTTACTACTGCCACCTCAACACCAGTACTGGCTGTTATTGGCAAGCGACAAACACGTTTCTCAATGCCCCTGCTTTCAAAGAATGGCACTATAGTTCCACACCTCCCATTTGATGACTTCCAGAGGTGTCTTCCTCTTGTCAGTGTGACAAGTTACTGACAGAAGCAGCATCACAACAAAACAAAGGTTAAAGATACACTGACAAAACCCACAGTCCTTCCCACATGTAATCTGTGGCCTCTTCCCCCCATTCTTGGTGTCTCACCCTGTTTTCCCTTATTTTGGCTCAACAGACCACAATACAATGGCTTGGTAGTCAAACAGGCTCCAGCTCGAGTGAGATACAGCCAGTTCCCAGACAAAGCACAGGCAAGCAGAGCTGCATTTAAGAGCAGCCCAAGTTAATCCAGTTCTAAAAGAAAGGTACATCAATGTAAATCAGCCTTTAAGTATGGCAGTGGCTGGTCACCAAGGCACTCCTTTCTCCTCATGCAGATGACAACCAAAGCATCCTTTGGGGCCAGTAGTTCCCTGGATGCAGATAAAATGTATTAGAGAGGAGGGAACAACAAATTTGAATGGTACAGGTGGAATTACATTGAGGACTGAACTAGACACTGGGCTTTCAATCACCACATCCGTGGTGAAACAGCAGGAAAAGTGAAAACTAAATGAAACCCTCAATCCTCTCAAGTATGATCTGGGGAAAACTCCAGGAACTCACCAACAAAGTTTAAGTTGAGAAGCAGATATTCTTTACTACGACGTCAAGAGACACCAGGGATAGCTCCTCCTAGTGAGTCTCATCTAAGCATCAACCAGGCTGTGATTATATTGTCCTTAAACATACATATTCTTTAGATTACATACATATTCATTGAGTTAATTATACATTGCATGATACTTCTAGAATTCCTCCCTCACACACACTAAAATGCGGTAGTGGGCTTTGGGAGTCCTGGTTGTTATTTCTTCCTCACCTTCCTCTTCATCACTCCATTTCAGGATCGTTGTCATGTCAGTAACCACCAGGCTGGTTCTGGCCAGTTCTTGCTATGCTTATCTTAGTCATTTCCTTACCTCTGTAGTTGCTGACAAAGCCTAACATCCTTGAAGTTACTTATTTACAACCCTATTCTTCAATCAACCCCATTCTTCAAGTAGTAATAGTAAGGAATAATAGTCATAATAATAGAGGAATAATAGTAAGGCTCACAAGCATTGGGAATAACAAGAACAAAAGACAGCCATTTACAGCTTTAGATCAACGGATGAACAATACCATTTACTTTGTTGGTGTATGCTTCAGATATTCTAATTCCTCATTCTAGAAAGGCTGCTGATGAAAACACTGGAGTTAAAAAGACCTCAAAAATGTGTTTTAATGTGTTTAAAGCTTCAGCAGATTCTAGAAAGCATACAACAGATTAATCTGAAAAGATACTTAAGGCGTTTGCATTTTGCTTCTGCAGTAAGAAACTCAAAAAGGATTTTTCCAGTGGTCTGTGCCCAGGAAGCATGAACAGGGAGTTGTTGTTAGCTCCATGTTGAGGAAGAGTGAAGTGCAACATAACAGAAGGTCTAGTGTACCATTTAGACCACCTGCTTTCTTTAGCATGTACACTTTGAAATCCTGACAGATGAAGTGCTTTGGCACCTACTCAAGGGATTCAAGGAGAATCTTTAAATTACCTTTTTTTTTAAGCATATACAGAGGTATGGAAGCTCTGGTACCCAGTTTAAACAGAGGACTGGATCCCTATTTCCCCACAGTCGTTTTCCCCCTCCCAGATTCAGACGATTACAATTGCTTTCTTTGTCACTGGCCAGTGGATAGGAAATGCAGTCAAGCTATTTATCACCTCACCTCCAGGTAATGAAGTGTTCAGTTTTGCCATTCCATGTTTAAGCAGAGGACAGTGAGTATGTTTTTATGCATATGCATAGCACTTTATCCTTTAAGTGCCAACTAGCGTTCTTGGAAACTCCCCCAGTCCAAATGTTAGTAACACCACAGACATCTTGCTCTGCTAAAACCCCCCAAAGTGTTTCCAGTCTTTCCACATCAATCAGCACAACTGAAGCCAGTAGTAAATTGATTCTCACATTGCACTGGTGCCGGGTTTTGTTAGAAATGATTTGTGATAGATATGGTGGAATATATTGATGAGTACTGACAGTCCCAGTTTCCCAGGCGCTTTGTAGCGCTGCCATTCCCAAATGACCCGCTTTCCACCTTGTCAATTTTCTTCTGCAGAGTCCAGTAGAAATATCTGGTCTATTATGAGAGCTTCATCCCCCTCCAGAAAACAAAAGGATCAAGCAAGTAGAAGAATAAGCACAATAAAACAGGTTTGCGGTGTTGCAAAAGAGCTGCTTTTTATTGAGATTTTGTGTCAGGGGAAAAAAAAGGCACAAAATAAGTTACAAAGACATTAATACGAACTGTATGAGTCGGAGGCAGTATTAGAGCTGCTACAAATCACCTAGAAGTTGGTTTACTAACACAGATTAGCCTCTACAAAATGAGTAAAGAGAAACTGTATTTCAAATGATCAAAATAATTCAGAAATTGACTGAGACTGGAACGACCACCAATATTAACTTTTGAGTAAATTCACATGGGCTTACCACCATCGCCTCTTTTAGAAGATAATATCACAGGAAAATATGCAGTCTTACAGAATTACTTTCAAAACTCATTTACCTTTTGTAATTTAAGAACCTGATGTTTACCTTTCATACCTCCAGTGAAGTACAGCACATACAGGTTAGTATGCATAGGAATTACATTAGGAAAACAACAGATAAGTGCAATTGTTCTGAATATTTCAACAGTTATTACAGCCCCTCACCTATGGCAAAGAGCATCTTAAAAAGATGGATCCACGAACATATGAGTATACCACCACAAAAGCTCCACTGTGGAAAAGCTTATGCTGTCTTTAGTTGTGACTTCCCAGATCAAGTATTCTGAACTCGGGCTTCTCAGCAGTGCAACTCTGAGTTAACAACAGCACACTAATACAGTTAAAGAAGAGGAAGTACTTCTGAAGTATCTCAGTCCTCATTTTAATGCAGGAAGGCTCATACAGTATTCAAGTAAGCCAAATTACAAATATTTAAAAATACACACACCAACTATATACAACTTGATTTTTGTTTGAAGCAGTGAATCTATTCCCCCCTATTCCCACTTCCCTGCTACTCAGCTGGCGAGGACTTCTGATTGTTGATTCAAATTAAACTGGCATGAGGAAGCAATACAAAGTCTCCAGGATAGAGACTATACAGAGATTTGTTTTCATGATGATAAAGGGTTGAGTAGAAAGAAAGTAGTTTACCCCTCTGGCTGCTCCTCTGGTCAAGCGGAGGTCTAAGTTCTGTCTTTTGAAATCAGCAGGGATGCAAATGTAACCAGACACAAAACTTGGCTATAAATGTCTGATTATATCCTTAGGAGTTTCCTTTACTTGACCTAAGACAACAGTAACACAGAAAGGGAATACAGTACCAACTACCACTCACAAAAACTGCCATCCCAATGTGTAAGGACTTGATTTGCAAGAAACCCTTGTTCACTCATGTGTTGGACATAACTGTCAGGGTTTTAGTTGTGAGAGGTCTGCAGGGTGTCGTGTGTGGGAAGAGGCCAGGGGCTACCCTGTGCTAGTCCCAGCAGCAGGGAGCACAGACATCACAGAATAGCTGAGGTTAGAAGGGACCTCTGTAAGTCATCTGGTCCAAAACCCTGCTCAAGCAAGGCCACCTATCAAAGTAGGATGCACGCATATAGACTCCACAGTCACCCCCACAGTAACAAACTGCTTCCCCATGTCCAGGTGTTTAAGAAAGGGCACTAAGTGACAAGAAAAACAGATTACAGTGCTACAACAGTAGGAGGAAAAAGAAAAAGGTAAGACCATGCCAGCACAAGAGGGGCAGAGAGACAGCTGAGCAGGAGAAATGCCAAAAAGAAAGTCCTAACCTGAGCAGAGACAGAGCAGACTCAGGAGGAGCTACAACACTAAAGGGACCGTGGCTGGTGAAGAAACCCACGCAAGAGCACTTCAGTAAGAAACAAGGAGCAGTGAAAAGAACAGCAAGCACAACAGACTGGTGCCAATCTCCTGTGCTGCCTGTTGCCTTGCTGAAGGGACCAAGGATAACATATAGCTAAGGAACTAGAGACCACCACGGGGCTTATGGCATGTGGGGAGAGAGGGGAAGAGTGGTGTCTGGAAGAAAGCAGGAGTGTTTTTCAAGTGTTTCATTTATCTTCCCCTTCAATTCCAAAACCAGTAACTAAAAGCTCTTTAACTGGCAATAAATTAAATTGATGACAATGCCCCAACCCAGATTTATTGCTCCTGAAAAATCATGCCCTCAGCTGAGATTATTACAAAAGGGCTTTCCGGCCTTTCTAAAAGCAAGTAGTACACCCAGGAGAATCCATGCTCTAAAAGCGTGTCATTATTTTGCTCCTTCAAAACCTAACTACATTTAAAAGCTCTTTAAGAAAAACTTTAAACAGGAAGACTTGGTGCCTTCAAATCATGGATTACCACTTAAATAAACAAGGAAATATTTTGTAGTTTCCTAAAACTCAGTTAAATACAAAATTGGCAAAAAACTCAATATAAAGAGGTAGCTTAAAAATCAAAGTATTATTAGATTCAAGAAGGAAGATAATGCTATAAAAGTATCCACATGACAAAATACACTTCCAGTTTCTACACAACTTACTCAAATTTTAATGAGAGCAGAATAAACCTTGGGTTAGACTTTGCAGAGTGACAAAGATCAAATACTCAAAAATCAGTCTTTTAGAGGCATACTGGAAATCAAAGGAACCACAATAAATTCTTTCATGACAAGTCATCCAGCAGTTTCCTGCCCTGTGTCTGCAATAGTGAGTTGCTTGGGTTTGGGTTTTTTCCCCCCTAAAAAGTAATGTCAGGAATTTTGTTTGAACAGAGATGTTCCAGATAACTCTCATGGAACATCTTTAAGTCTATAACTTCCAATATTGGTGGAGGTTTTCTTACTACCATACTTTTTGCTTGCCTCCTGATAAATTGGGTATAACATGAGCACCTCCAATGTGCTGGTGGGAGGCAGAAACACACATGCTAAAGACTTCTTTCCTTTACAGCCCTTTTGTAAATGAGGATGGGCAAGTACTTGGTTTAAACACACTCCATTCTGCGAGGAACAGGCTGACTCACAGTGAACTTTAGTTGTGATAGGGACTTAAGCTCTAGACATTATTATGTAGCAATGCCTCAAACAGACTGTGCATGACAAATCTGCTAGAGCCTATGAAGCTCCAGGCAAGCTGTTATTAGCAATGCTAATTAGAAGGGCTGATGAATGAATTAACAAATTCTAAGGTGCAGTTTTCAACCAGATTTTATCAGTCTCAGAGTAAAGCTTTGACATTTGCAACTTAGAAGCAAACAGGCTCCGCAGATTCTTCTATAATGGCTACATGGTATAAGTTCTGCATGTTCTACAAAAGCTACACTGAAAATCCTTCATTTAATTTCTTTGGTTTCACAGAAACAAAAGCTACTTAAATGAACTGCGTAATGAAAGGCAAGCAAGCAAAGGTAACTTACTTTCGTCTCCGAAAGCTCCGGAGATGCTTGTAAATACCTGTTTTATCAGGTTGTGTGGAAGAATTCCAAATGAATGCAGCTAGAACGAGTTTTGAACCATCACTTTCCAGCAGAAAACTGTCTTTGGCACTTACATAATCTAATTCTATGATGTTACATTACACACAGTCCCATGTCAAGTTGACAGAGGAAATTAAAGATGACTTTTGTAAAACAGGCACTTTAAATTAGAACAGGAAAATCTGCTCCCCATTAGGCAATACAGGAGCTTTTTTTTTCCAGCATGGCAGAAGCAGCATGAAGTACCAAAAATAAGATGGAAGAGTTCAGTAAATTCAGACTCTTGAGGTGAAAGTTTTACCCAGCTCGATTAGACTTAAATAACAGCAGCACCTGCAAAATCTGAAGGCTACAACAGACTGGGCAAGGCATTAAAAACACACAGCATGGAACAATTCTGTATCAATCTATTCAGCCTCCAATTTACATTTATATCTGTCGCAGTGATTTGCTACATAGGTATCCTTCTTCCACTTAAAATACCTTGTAGTAAGATACAAACAACGAGACTCAAAATACAGCTATACCCCAAGCCTCCTGTTTGGTAAATGGGTGAATACAGGCATTTCTGACACAGGTGTGTCAGGCCAGACTAACTTCCACCATCAAATGACATCGCTGCTTTTGGGCTTTCCTGATGTATTTACTGTAAGGCTCACAGCTTGCATGCACAGACTGAGTTCTGTCAAAGAATATGATCAAAGAAACTCTAATAGGGTGGAAAAAGGTATACATAGCACACCATCCTTCAGCTAATACATAGTAATAGTAACCAAATAAGCATTCAGTGATTAAGCAGAAGACTGGGAAACAAGAGTTTTAGCTTAAATGCTTCCATTAAAACACTAGGAAAAGTAGGTTTGTTCCTCACTTCCCCTTTTGCTCAGGGCAACAAAAACATGCTTTTACAATCTCCTTTTATATGTTTACTGAAATAGGCTGGAAAATGTACTGCTCAACTGCATTCCCTATGGCTCTGCAAAGGGTATTTTGCTAATCTCAGTACATCCATGGAGTCTGGAAACCCTGGCACGGATCACACACTGCAAGTAGATGAGCATGTGGCTGCAACCCTTAAAGCCACCTTCAAAGATGGCAACCAGCTACAACCTGCTCCATGTTAACGAGGTGTGTCTGGAGAGGTGTGGGCATGTTCTTCACTCAGCATCCCGACCTGAACACTGAGTCATCCGTGTTTCTCCTTTAATACAGAGCTCTTAAATTTCCCCTGTGTTCGGGAGTCTCTGAACAGCACTTTCCCAGTCTCTAAATGAAAAGCACTGGCTTTGTTTTCAGAGGGCATAGTTTCAAAAAAAGACTTTTCAAATGACCTCCCTATTCTATTCTCTTCAACCTACCAAAAATAGCCACGTAGTAAAATCCTTTCAGAAGGCTGAGAAGATGTGGAACAAAAATTACATCAAATAATTCTAATCTTCCTATTTTTGTAAAGGGAAGCTGGCAAATTAAGCAACAGCCAATTCTACAGCATTGTCCAGAAGAGGGCTTCACAAATGTTAATGATTTTCGTGGCATGCCACTTCACAGAAAAACTGAGTCCAAAAGAAAACTGAAGCGTGCCCCGTTTTATATAGATCCAAAGAAATGTTTCATTACTAAAATAGTAATACTGAAGGAAGTTGACATGAAGAAGAAATGATGTCCCAGTAGGATACCCTGGAGCCAATGCTAGCTCTGAAAGAAGTCTCAAGTCAACACAAGCAGCAAGAAGGGTATTTACACCCAACAGCTACTATCTTGTTTTCACTTACCCTTGTCCTAAAGTGTTTCTTTTTACTCTCTCTAGCTAATTCTCCTCACATGACCTGTAACTCTCCTTCACTCCTAGCTGTATTCAAGTGTCACTTGAGAGGTCTCCAGGTAGCGGAATCCCAAACCTATCTCACCTGAGACAGTATTAAGGTCTGACTAATCAGAACCACTGGAAAGCCTCTCCTCTAGCATAATCCCACTAGGAAGGAATTCCCATCTTGGGGGTAGGTATCTCAGTGCCTGCACAACACAAAAAACAGTTAACAATGCAGGCTGCTTAGTACACAAAGCTACTCTAGCAAAAAACTGTGGGTTAAGGTTGTCATACTTTACTGAACTAGCAAGGATGTTGGGTCCTAGTAGCCTTTTAATATGTCATAAACTGTGATCTATCTAGCGCTGTATCAGCCTCTGCTCTCCAGTAGCTTCTCAGAGCAAATTTACTGCCCAAACACCAATACTGGACCTACACAGATTGCTTACACTACTTCAAAAAAATCACAAATTCTGTCTGGCCTTTTGACTTGTGCTGTCAAGTTGTGAGACCCATAAATAGCAGGCTCTGTTCAACTCAAGAACTTCTGCTCAGCAATAACGGTCCATCTAGATACAGAAAGCGTTGACCACATAGGCTACAAAACACTGTGAAGCATCTCTTCCCAGTGAATGCTACATATAGCACAAGTATCTTATTGCAAACCATTACACTCTATGGGTAAGAATAAAGTGATCCTACAGGCTTCTGTACCAGATGGCAACTTCTTATAAAACAAACTTCTCTGAAAAGAAACTTAAGCACCTAATAGATGTGGACTTCAGAAGACGAAGGGGGAGAGCAAGCAATTGTAAGAAGCCTGGTACTACACTGCTGAGCTCCTTTTAGAGGGACCCTCTTCTACAAAACTTTTGAATTAACTGGCCAAAAAAGGTAACAATAAAGAGTTTCTCTGGTAGACACAAAAAAAGATGCTGCCCTTTAAAATTCCAAAGGTGCCAACACAGGTCAGATTGAAGGCTAAAAATGAGCAGCAACTTTTATGGAGAAAACCCTCTGATGTTTTCTTCACCTTTGGTTTTGCACATGTATACTTATGATATAAAGGTGGACAGGTTAAGTTTAATTATAAGTTGAAGACCATCACAAAACCCAGCTCAGGTCTGGGTTTTGTGATCACCTCCACCTGAACCATTATAGCATCCTATTGTTCTAATGAAAATTACGTTGAGGTGTCCCATGACACGACCAGGGTCGCCAGAGGCAGACAAGGGCAGTAAAACTATGGAACAAGAAAGGCTAAGAGCTCTTGTCTGCCTCTCAGGTGACTTACTCCACCTACTGTCCAAAGAGAGACAGAGGCAGCAGACACCTAATAAAACCTGTTGGGTCGTGGCAGCACAGAATCAGAATCAACCAGACTGGAAAAGACCTTTAAGCTCATCCAGTCCAACTGTTCCCAGCACTGCCAAGGCCACCACTAACCCATGGCACTGAGGGCCTCGTCTACACGGTGTGTGAACACTTGCAGGGACGGTGACTCCAGCACTGCCCAGAGCAGCCTGTTCCAATGCCTGAGCACCCTCTGGGGAAGGAATTGTTCCTCAGCTCCAGCCTAAACCTGCCCTGGTGCAGCTTGAGGCCGTTCCCTCTTGTCCCATCCCTTGCTCCTTGGGAGCAGAGACCGACCTCACCTCACTTCATTCTTCTGTCTCCTGTCAGGCAGTTGTAGAGAGCGATAAGGTCCCCCCTGAGCCTTCTCTTCTCCAGACTATACCCTCAGGTCCCTCAGCCGTTCCCCATCACACTTGTGCTCCAGGCCCTGCACCAGCTCCATTGCCCTTCTCTGGCCCCACTCCAGCATCTCAATGTTCCTCTTGTAGTGAGGAGCCCAGAACTGAACACAGGATTTGAGGTGCAGCCTCACCAGTGTCCAGCACAAGGGGATTATTACTTCCCTAGCATGTTAATACAGCCAAGATTACCACTGTTTGCTTCTAAGTAAACAGGTTTTATTTATTCCGAAGCTATTTCCCAGCTGTCTGTAATTCAGAATATGGATGAAAAACTTAAAAATTCTTTGAACAAACAGATTCAACCTTTCCAAGTATTTTGGGGTACCTGATTTGGAGCCATTTTCTTGCATACAAAAGGGCCAAATAAGACAGACAGACTATCCAGCTGGGTTTAAAAGTGCTCTGCCACATCTAAAACTATTTAGCAGTCTTAAAAAAAACCCAACCCCCAGAAGTGAACACTGGAAGCTGGAATTCTTCTAGTGAAGCTCACAACAGGCAAAAAAAATCACAACAATATTGACACATTCTCCACAGGGAATGAAGCTCCCAACTTTGCTCTCAGTCAATGCCTGGATTAAGTTCAGGTCAATTGGAAGCACTACGTGTATGCACCTGCAGTCTCTGGCTGCCTTCTGCACCAAGCAGGGTAGCTGCACTTTGCTCAGGGCAATTGCCAGTGAACAAAGTTCAAGTTCAAACCTCCCATGCTCTTTCTTTACTTTCACTTCAGAGTAAAGGAGCTCGGATTTTAACCAGAAAATATTCAGCAGTCAGCTTCCCTTAGTCTAACATGCACAACAATGGCTAGCGAGCCTGACAATAGACTCGCTGCCACTGTGGGGCTCTTTGCTAGGAACATCATGTATAATGACTAACAAATGTTTCATGGAAGTCAATTCTAATCAGTAGAAAGGTACAGGTTAGAGGATGAAGATAGCAACGTCATCAAGAAAGCTGAACCCTTGTAAGGCCTCATCTTTGTAGCTGAAACATCTCGTATGTTTATGCTTCATATTTCAGTATTCCATATCCTTCTAATGAAGCACAGTGTAAACTGGAGAGTGAAGTTGTCCTCCTCAACAAGGTCAAGTAACTAAGTGCTTGAACAAGCATCTGGTTAAGAAACAACATCAAGTAACCAAATGCTATCTCAAAGAGGTTTTGCCTTCCCCTGCCCCCCCCCCCCCATTTATTTTAAATAACTATCTACACACAAGATTTTAAAATAAATACTAGCAGCTTCCTGGCAATAATCTCCAAAATGTAACAGCAACCCACAGTTCCTCGTATCACTCCAGAGTTAGGTTTCTTTCAGAAATAAAAGACACAGACAGGTGAACAAAAGATGAGCTATATATTCTAACACATACCTCACAACACAGAGTATGTGATAAATACTTCGCCTATGTCCCACCCAGGAAATTATATCCTTCACAGAATATTTCACTGCACAGAGAAATTGCTGAGGTTCAATATTTATGGCAAAGTGAGGACAAGGTAAAGGTAGGCAAAGCTACAAACAGCAGTGCTGAGACAGGAAGGAAGATGTGGCAGATGTAGGCATAACCCCAAGAAAATGCTTGGTAGATGAAAACAAGGGAAAAAAGAAATCAGTAATGTCCTTTATTCTGCAGGCTTTATAGTTGCTCTTTTCTGTTGTCCTTCCTCCCAGCCTTCCATTATAACTAACCTAATGAATGCACAGCTCATGACTAACCAGCTGCACCCTGTAACTTTATACAGGTGCCTATGTGGAGAGAGAGAAACCTTATGTTCATAGTTGCCTCTCCCCTATTCAATGTGCAGAAGCCATTTTAACACACAATTTCAGGAATTTGTTCCCATTGAAGTAGCAACACAGCACATTCTGAGACCACTTTCACAGTATATAAAAACAAACAGTGGATGTTTCCAAGTTTACCAATTTATACTGAATCAAAATCAACCACCTTGAAAACAGAATACAAACATGTGCACTGATGAGCTGTCCAAACATGTCTAAGCCTAGGTGATTTCCCAGGCTTCACACACACACAGTCCTACCCTTGCTGTCTCACCCAGCTTCAAGTGTGGTCCATGCACTGTCACCACGAACCATAAGAATTTGAATGGATGCCTGGTATGGAGAGCATCAGTGGTGCAATTAGTCTGAACAGTACTCAAACCCCTCTGCTAGTCAGGAGAAACACAGGCACTTGCCTAATGACATTCCTTGACAGGTGAGGTCCCCAGTACACATCTTACAGCCAGACTGCCCAGACAAGTAAGAAAAGGCATAAAACAGGACAGTGTTTCTTCTTTTCATTACTTGATCATATGAGTCTCTTCATCAGCATCATAAAACTCCTCGTCTTCACTTCCACTCCCTGTAGAGCTGTCTTTGTCTCCAGACTAGAAATGAAAACAGAGTCACTGGTTAGCAAAGAAGCCCTCTCCAAAAATACATAAGCAATCGTTACACCTCTGTGGGAATGCTAGGAGAGAAAAAGTAAGAAAACCTAGGTCAAATCATGGTATTAAAACTTACAAAAGACATTATGTGAATTAATGTTTCTTTGTGACCTTGGTTCTACACTAGAGAATACATGCAGGACAGAGACTGGAATGAAGTGACAATCTTTTCAGCTTTCTTAAATTCATTCGAAGGTCCCTACTCTGTGGTGAGCTACTGGAAACAGGCTCAGAACACTCAGATTACTCGGTTAGATAAAAGTTTCTCCATCTGAATTATTACTTCTCCATGTGTAGCATGGGCATTTCCCTATGCAAGTTTAATTAAGATCATCCTCCTGCAACACTAAGCGAAGAGGTTATAAAAAAGTGAAGAAAACATTAGCACTTTATACGCTCAGAGAGTAAATTCCCTATTATAAGCATACCTACTCCAGCCAGTCCTTTTAGCAACATAATTTATATCATATACAGAAACTAAAGTTAGCTATTACAGCTAGTTAATTCTTATTTGGCCAGCATAGCATTTTTCCATGGAACAGATACAAATCATTCCAGTTAAAAAGTATAAACTCCATCTAGTTCATTTAGGATTTTTTCCAGTATGCTTCCATCCACCCTAAGACTTCTGCCTGCTTAGTCATATGCAAAGGGTGAGAGAGAGGGCAAAAAATAGAGACATGGAAATTATGTTCCCGACTGACAGTACCATGCAAGCAAAATCTGTAGCTTTAGATCTGGCTTCAGAGGGAGTTTTGCTACAGCAACGTGCGCTAACTGCAAAGGAATTTCAAACAATTTGAGCACTAAGAACTGTCAGAAAATATAAAGGGAATCATGTTATGCTTCTTTCTGGATTTCTAAAATTATTTGAGGAAAGTCAGGCTATCACTGGATGCTGTCCAACTTCAATATCACATTCATGTATGTTAACAGGGACAAAACCTCCATCCTGGGCAGCCAGAAAATGTGTTATCTTGAAAGTGGTACAAAAGGACAATGAATTCCAGAGGCAGAATTCAGAGTATGTGAAATAATTCTACGTCTTTCTTACCACAGCTTCATAAGACCTCTCCATGGCCTTGTCAAATAAGGTTAATGTTCAAGTTTTCCCTTTTATCAGTCCTTTGTGAGCTTTAAAATAAACCCCTAATGTGTCACAGACATTCCAGATATAACATTACTTCCGTTACAGGATAACTTCAGGCCTGAACCAACTTTCATTTAATTTGGATTCAATAATTTTAATCCATCTGGGGAAAAGTTTTCCTCAAAAAGAGTCTTTTTTTTTTTTCCCTTTTGTGGATCCTGTTCAGGTTAGGATTTTTAAGCAGCCCGTGACATAAGTGAACCAAGTTGGGCACATACTGATAGGCGATGATACTTATCCCCTCAAAGAGCAGTACTGAGCTTACTTGGTTAGAAAGGAAAATGAAAATGGAAATGTGACTTTCCCCCACCTCTAAGTTGTAACACCTGCACTGTCTGCTGGAATTATTTGTTGTTAGTAAGCCATCTGCACAGTTAAGATGCAATAATGATATAATTACCCAAGTAGCAGCTGGTGTAAACTTGAAGTAAGTGCATGTGATGGATTTGTGTAGCCAGCAAGAGTGTGGTGCCATAACGCATTACCAGTATGGTTAAAAATGTTTGTAAAATGTGCATGTAAAGTAGCTAAAGTATAAAATTAATCATTACAGGGCTGCCTCTTTCAAGCTTTCTTCAAGGATGGTTTTGTCACTAAACTGCACTGTCCTGTCAAGAAGTATTAAAGCTAAAACTGGGAAACAAGGCAGTGTGTTGAAGCCTTTGAAAAGAAGCAACTGCTCTCATTCTAGAAATAAGAGTTACTCTGCCTCCTGATTTCTGTGAAAATAAGCTTATGAATGCCTGCAAATCCCAGACTGCTTGACTGAAAATTAAACAAAGTAAAAGGTGTCACAAGGATCCCATCTCATCACAGCCTTATGGGACAACAAGCATTTTTGGTTAGGAGTTGCCCTTCAAGTTTCTGACCATTTCCATTTGGATTAGCCCGTAAATATTTAAAATTTTGGGACTGGGATTTAAGCATTAAAACCTTATCCAAATTCACAGAATCACAGAATCAACTCTGGTGGAAAAGACCTTTAAGATCATCAAGTCCAACCATTACCCCAGGACTGCCAAAGCCACCACTAAAATATGTCACCCAGGGTCTTGTCTCCATGGTTTGTGAACACTTTCAGGGACTTCCAGAGATACTTCTCTCTAATCTCACTCCAATCTCAGAGGTGCAGGCATGTACAAAGCCAACCCTTCACATGACTGGAATATGTGCGTTACCTCAAAAGGTGTGCAGGAGTTAGACAAAATGAAGTATAAAGTGATATGAAAAAACAACATTCAAGGAAGCCCCACTGAAAAACATCCTGCTGCCACATTGTTATGCTTATGCCTGGGAGTTTTGTAGCTCTGATGTTTTCAATGAAACTCATTTCTCAGAATCAACAGTAGAACAGATCCTAGAGGTTAGTTTAGCCTTAACCCATTTAAAGACTCTCTAGGATAGACCTAACAACTGACATAGCAGAACAGCGAGTGCAGGTCAAGGCAGTAGCATGCTGTCTTTTAGAACAGCTCTTCACAAACAGGCTTCTGCTTTCTTTAACACCTGAGGCTTCTCAAACTTCAACGGCCAGCTTTGCATGAAGCATGCTCCAGCAATCCTAGATATTAGAGAGGCTCTTATCCCAAAGGAAAAGATCAGAAGCTTTTGGCCTTGAGGAAAGGAATTAACCCAGCTGTGTTTCAGCCTACAATTCCAGACACATTTCAGATGTGACAGTAGGGTTACTAAACTACCTTCTATATTTCCCCGTGGCTTAATCTCCACAGGCCCAGAATCACTATCCTCGTCTATTTAGAGTGGCATATTCAAGCTGACAGCTGAAATAAACACAACAGAACAGTAGGAAAAAAAAACAACAAACTGTGAATATACCTGAGAGCCATCTAGGGCTTGCAACGACATGGCTTCATCACCCAGCCTCCAGTATGAGCATACCTGCAGGTCTGAAATAGTTTCTAGCAAAGGGCTGTTTAAGGTCTCTGGCAATAATAAACTTAAGAGTCCAGACAAAAGACCAGTTGCTCCAAAGACAATATAAGGCAGAGACCACTGTACAGATTTCTGACAAAAAAAAAGAAAGAAGAGAGTTAGGTTGAGATTGGTTCCCTCTAATTCATACTGCATATTAAAGCACTCAGCCTTGACAACCATTCCATCTGGCAAGTGTTTGCATTCATATTTAGCATAAAAGTTACCTATCCTACTCTTTTTAACCAATATTGTCAATTGCATCTTATCAATACTATTAGATCAACACAGATTTAGGGATGGACTTTAAAGAAATGGCTGCTGAATTTATACTCAGTTCTTGTCCGTAACATACACACTCTTCTTAATAAATGCAACATCACTTTGTAGTAGGAAAGAGGTATCACAGTCATAGACATGCTGGTTGGAAGAGATCTCTTGAGGTCACCTAGGCCAAGCACTTACTCTGAGCACAACTACAGCCAAGACTACACCACATCATTATGTAACCAAGTATTGAAAAGACTCCAAGGACAGATTCTCCCTCTGTGCAGGCCAAAACTTGTCCCCCTGACCCCTGCTGAACTGTTCCACACTGCTGGGACAACCAAAGGTGCAATATTCCCTCAAGCTTTCATGTGAAGCCATGGGCCCTAGCCCTGACCATCTTGGTTTACCCTCAACTGGATCCTCCTGATTTTTCAACATCCCTCTAGAACTGGGAGGAAACTTAATCTATGGGCTACACACCGAACTGGGCCTGACATAGCACAGTGTGAAGGTTGCCTGTTTGTGATGAGAGGACACTGCCAGCTCCCATTTAACTTGACATCCATTGCTGTTTCCAGGTCTCTTCCAGCAAGGCTGCTACTCAGCCAGTTGGTTCCCAGCCTGTACTGACCATGTAATAAGTCCATACCACAAACAAAATTTTATTCTTCTTGTTGGTCTTGTTGGCCCAGAAGATCCCACTCAAGATTTACCACTTGGTGTGTCAACCTCTCCGCCTTATTTTGCATCCTCTAGAAATAAGGCGAGGATGTATTCAGTCCTCCACGTGCCACCAGCTACCAAATACTGAGCCTGTCACTATTCCTTTGAGCCTGGTAAACATGCAACATTCAAATCAAACATTCCTTTCATCAGGACTCACCTCCTCAGCTTCCAAACAAGAATATTGCAAGACAGTGTCAAAAGCCTTCCCAGCCCTCCTCATCCATATTACTTTCTGCAATGAAAATGGCTATCAAACCAAACTGGCTGAGAGCAAACTGTCCTTCGTAAATCTACATTTGCTGGTCCTGATTACCTTCTTGGCCTTCATATGCTCAGAAGCAGACTCTGAGAGGCCATGTCACATCATCTTCCCAAGATGAAGTTTGAGCTGCTCAGCCTGTAACTCCCTGGATCCACTTTCTAACCTTAAAGAGGCCCACTGCATCACCTGTCTCCCCCAAGAGTTAGAAGTGACCTTTCTCTACAATAGCCTGTCACAGATGATGGACACTTGCCTCACTACCTCTGCCAGCTCTTTCACCGCCTCTTAGGGAACCCTACTGCATGGAACAGAAAGCTTTCAGCTTTAACTGTTCTTGAACCTATCACTCCTTCAGTGCTTGCTGGCTCTTTGCTTCCTCAACAGTGCTGGTATGAACAGCCTTGGGGTTAGGCTTTGCTTATGAAGACTAAAGGAAAATTATTTCAGCCTACTGCATCTCAGCCACCAACAGGATGTCCATCCCATTCAACATCAGTCTAAACATTTTCTTTAAATTACCTTTAGCTGAGAGAATCCCTATTTATGCTCCTTGCTAGTTTTAGCTTCAACTGAACTTTGGCTTTCCTGTTATCCCCACAGCCTAAGCAATGTTTTTACTCCTCTGATGCCTTTTCCTGTTTTTACATGGCTTGTTACAGGCAAAACTACTCTAGGAGATGGTGTGTGCAAAAATGAGTCATCTACAACACAGCTCCAAAATGTGTATGTTCACTGTACAACCGGTACACCGGGCTTGTTTAAAAGGCAAGATTTTAGCTGTTTGTGTCAAAAAGCTCACTTTGTATAGTAAAAAGCAATGCTAAATTGAGAAAATGACTGGCTGTGATTAAGTAGAAGAGCAATACTTCATCTCTTATCTCAGCAATTAACTTTTTCCCTTCCTACCCTTTTTATAATATCCCCAGACAAAAGATACTGAAAAAGCATTAAAATAGTTGAAGAAATTCCAAACAACAAAAATATTTCTTTCCTCAAATCAGTGTTAATTTGTTACTTAAACCGAGCTATTTTCACTTTAACTGGATGCCTTCAAACATTATGATCCAAGATTTGTGTCTCCTGCAGTGCAAAATCTCTGCTAGGCACAACATAATAGACGCCTCAAATGAGACATAAAAGCTGCCTATTAAACCTGCCTGGGAGACCTGCACCAGTCTTGGCTTTGCCTGCTGTACCCCAGAGGTGCTCACACTCTCACCTACCCAGTGTTTCATTCTGTAGATTAAAAGGCTCACTGTGCTCATCTACCCTTTTGCTAGCCCTCTGCCTGACATAAGGAGATGGCAAATGGCAGAGAGGGAAGTTATTCCAGATGAAATGTTACATTAAAGGAACTGTCACTTGACCTGAGCAAGCAGTTTGTGTGAAAAACTGGCACACTTTTACCTGCATGCACAAGTCTATGAACACAGAGGAAAATAACAGTATCATGCCCATGTTTTGCTCTTCAGAATTTTCTCTGCCTTAACAGACTGCTGTGAAGTTTGTGCACAAAAGCTTTGCTGGTGTATCAAGTCTCCACATAAATACAATCAACTAGGTTGGAAAAGACCTTTAAAATCATCAAGTCCAACCACTCCCCCAGGACTCCCAAGTCCACCACTAAGCACCATCACCATCTCCATTCATTGGAGGATAAACCGGTTTGCTGATAACTATAATCTATGGATATTCAATGAAGTGCACTGATAGCAAAACTAATTTATTCTCAGATATATAAATTAAACCCATATGCTTTATATTGATGCAGCAGATCTTTTAACTATGTGGGTTTCTTGCTACTGCTCACTTAGGGTTTAAAGTTGAGTATCACCATTTTGAAACTGAAATTACTGTATTGCTAAAGTCCACCAGCTAAGTCCCAAAATTCTTACAGGGCTAAAACACCTTCTGAACTAAATAATGTTGATTTTTGTCTAATCACAAAGATTATATTGCAATGCCTTTGGACTACCATGTTACTGTTAAGACATGTAATTTACATATCTTAGTTTATACCCATAACTTATCCAAATTACTCCCACCTCTGTAAGCCTCTGCCGAGTCAGAGCCACAAACCAAAAACATATGTAATAGTAAGAAGCTCAGACAAACCAATGAAGGGACGAATGGAGCAATGATTCCACCAACCCGGGAAAACATGGAGCAGGCACCCATTCCAACATTTCTGGGAAGCAAAGAAAAGTCATTAATCAATGATATTTGCATATTGAAAAGGGCCACTGAGCAAGGAAGAAACCCCACACTTCAATCATGACCCCGACCACAGTAACTGACAAAGTCAAATGAAAGTGAAAGAATCCCAAGACAGGAATTAAAACATGCTTTGGGCTTAGAAGCACAAATCCCTTTCATGCTCAGAATTCTAACATACATACATATAGAGGCATACGTGCAATTTCAGTTAATGCATCTTCTCTGCCTGAAACTTTGGCTAAATTCCTTTATCCAAACCCTACTTATGAGCAGACTTGTCCACCCATGAAAAACACCACAGTATAGTTTCACTGGTGGCAGATCATCAACAACAATACCTGCTTAAAATACCCAATAAAATTACATCCATATGACAGATGCCTCTGTCTGCTCTGTCAGCACAAGCATGGGGTACTTCTGCTTCTAGTTCGTGAAACCTGTGGCCTATGAAGTATCAAGTTAACATTACAAAGCTTATTGACCAGTCATCTTCAGTGGTGCTGGTTAAGCAAGCATGAATGTTTAATACAGTTGTATGGCTTATAAAGCACTGAAAAAGTTAGATATCATTCATTAAAGAAGTATCAGCAATACTATTGTTATCTTCGTAGCGGAGAGAGGGCTGTGAGCACACCAAGCAGCCAAAGGGATACTTCACTGTTATATAAAGAATATGGTTAGTCTGAAAAAAGCACCGCAAATTTGAGGGAAGAGGAAATTAAAAGATAAGGGAAGAAGTTGAGCATGTAAACTACATATAATCATTATATGTAACTGAAAACCCCAAAAGGTATAGTTAAAAAAAAAAGTAAAAGAAGTAAAGGTGATCAGGTAAGAGACCAGAAAACATGAAGACCTTAAAATTAACTTGTGTTACCTGATCACTGTGGGATAAAGCTCTGATGTGTAGATGTAGACAATGTTAAATGCAGCACTGATTGTCAGTTTCCCCAGCAAAGACAGAGAGCGACTATTCACCACTGCGAACACTCCAGTATCTGACAGAGAAAATGTGATCCCTGTAAGGCTTTTGAGCACTCAAATACATCTCTAATCATTTCAATCGCACAACAGCATGGAGTGAAAGCAAACCCACTGAAGAATTTGCTGAGAGCCAAGCAGTTTTCTGTTAAAGGACAGTTTGTCCGAGGTGATCTATACCTTCAAGTACAGAAGGAAACATGGGCTTGATATTGTTGGTCAGAACAGCCAGTGCTTACTCACTTATACCAAGCACATCAGAAGACACGTTACATGCCTATCAAGGAAGGCTACAGAATAAACCACTGCGGCCTTGAATAAATCGTGCTTCCTAAGGCACTTTGCTCCTGGCCAACTTCAGCAGTTCAGCATATGGATTATTTCCTGGGTCCTGGATTATTTCCACAGTCCTCTGCTCTGAAAATCTCTTTCATATGTTGTACTTGAACTAACATGCAAAATGTACTTGGTATCAGGTACCAGCCTAACCAGAATATCTGAGTCTGGGCTCCAGCATCTGGGTTACTTCTGGAAACCCAAGTTGCTCCTCTTTAAAAGTTTCAACTATTAGATTCATAGCCATCTAGAGTAACTTTGGCACGCTATCATAAGCGTTTAATCTTTCTTAATCATGCTTCAAACCTTTGCAGCTTTCGCTCTCCTTACGGCAGGTGTTAAACATACACAAAATCTTACAAGCTGAGATGAATTTATGCACCTAATTTTAAAAAGAAAAACCACTCATGGTATACTTTTGTTTCTGTTCTGCTGAACAAATTCAGAAATGAAGAAATGAGCACAGTGTGTCTACAAAAAAAGACATTCTATTTCACATTTCTTAAAAACCCCTTGCTTCAGAAGATTTTCAGACTCCTGTCTTGAAGTATATGTGGCCACATTACTAATATCACAGTTATACCAGTCTTGAACATTACAGAGCAGTGAGGAAAACATGGAAACTTGCACCAAGATTCAATTCTTAAGATCTTTTGACATCGGTGTTTCACTTGGAGAGATAAATACAAATTGCATGCATACTACTTACACCAACATATCATTTGGCTTATGGAAAGTCCCCAAATAGCATCAGTCTTTGGGTTTAAGTCACAAACACTGGAAAGGAGTGACTGGTGTGATCAGAAATACAGGGCAGAATCCAAAGACAAAAGCTCAAATCCAACCCTTTCCAACAAGCTTTCCTTAAGATCTTAGGAAGGCTGCTGCTTAGCCTTTTTGTGAGTTACCTTCTCTGGCTTCAAAACTTGGGACTCACGTGTGGTATGAACCTAATCTACAAGCAACCATCAAATTCTTAGATTATAGGATGTTGTGTTTAACAATTCTCATCACGCACTCCAGAAACAAAAGTAAGTATTTACCTTTCTTTTTAGGAAGGAACATGACAATAAGACAAGCCAATCCTCCCAGGAACAGAAATGTGCTCAGTGTTCGCTTCCGGCCAAACCTGATGTGCAAGGATAACAAAGCTTTATTCTGCATTAGATCTGTCGTTTGCAGAGCAGTAAGTCCTCTAAATTCATGCTGCCTCTTTATTTGCAGTTGGGAATCCTGAATGCCATCTCCCACAAACACTTCCTCTCACACTTTTAAACGGCTTCTACTGCCCTCTTAAAATGAGCACCAAGAAGTCTTTATATGCAGTGGCTGACAGCTTCTAGGATTTTGATTTGTTTCCCACTGCGTGTGCACGTTTGTAAAGCTCCTCAGGAGACACGGGCAGAAGAAACTGGGAGGTCAATTCTACATTGTCCAGAGTATCATGGCTCAGGAAAAGGCTGAATATTTGAATCAATCTCTGCTCACATACTAGTGCACACAAGCAAATATTACATGAAACCACACTACAGCTGCCGTTGAGTTCAGTTGCAACTGCTTTGATCTAATAGTGGGAATGGGGACTACGAGAGAGAGGTGGGAAGAATGCCATCTTGTGTTAGCATGGGGCTAGCACAGCTCGGTTCAACTGATCCACGGGATCAGCACCATCTGAGCCAAATTCAGACAGCTCATTAATAAGTGAGCTATTGAGAACAAGTTAAACTTTATCTGAAACAAAGACATATCAATGGCACCTTCAAATTGAAGCAGGAAGCTCTATACACAGATATAAACTAGGAGATGCAATATACAGGAAACCTATCTTTGAGTAAAATTGAAAGAAAATAAAACCCTGAATGGGTTTGGGTTAATAAATTTCATACTTACCACTTTTGGTTAATCAAGTAAATACAGATTGGGTATGCTGGGATTTCTATCAACCCTGAAAGGGCTAAATTGGCATAAATACTTCCACCCAAGTCACCCACATTTAGGGTAAGACCATAGTAAACCAAGCTGCACACAAACCTGCAAAAAGGAGAAAAAGAGTAAAATCGGAGCTGCCACTTTGCCTGCCAAATCAAAGCACTGGTCTGGCAAATCACCATAAACCAGATTTAGAGTTTCAGAAGGTCTAACATGTTACCCTAACAAGTATATGGTGCTTCCAAGGGAAAGAAACCATTTTGCCTCTGCACAGACCCAACTGACTTATTACTCAGTTAATCTTAGGACTACACTTGATAAGAATGGGCATAAACCAGAATAAAATTAAAATATGACTATATTAGTTGACCTGAGAAATTATGACTTGGTCCTTTTTGGTTTTATCAGCTTCCACTTTCATCCATGCTTTTCCAGTTGTGTGTAAACCCTTTCCGAAACAGTTCAGACAACACATCCGCCTTCTTTTAATTTCTACACCCTGGTCTAGTTTTATTCATTTGCATCTTTTATTTTTTCTTTCGTATCACTGCCTGGCTGTCACCTTTACAGAGAGGAAAGGAACTGGTAACTAACTCATCTTGCAGGAAATCAGCAATTCTTATTTAAGGAACAGAAAAATCAACTAGCCTGCAGTAGCCATTCTGGAAAAGCAAAGGAAAAACAGCTCCGTGTTGTCTACTAACAAAATGATGCCATTTGTTTTCTTCTTAATACATCTTCTTCAAATATACGCATTATAAAACCAAATGTATGAATAGAAATGCCAGAGGACTCACGTAACACATCATACACAAGGCTTATTTCAAAGTAGCAGCAAAAGACCTCAGGGCTAGCAGAGCTATCTGTAGCAAAACAGGCACTTTTGGAATTAGTTTTCTGCTGGTGACTAGAGCACCATGGGTTGAACATGTTCATCTCACAAGGTAGGCTACCCCCCTGTTAATGGTCTCCTTATACACAAAACCAAGAATGATCCATGTGACTGGAAGTACTGACACAGCATGGGACAAAGAACAGCCTGACTAACCCTAAGCAGCCTTTGAGGGTCAGAAGAGAAGAGGCAGTTAACTAATTTGAGACTCTCAAAGCATGATGAAAACGCAGAGATAAAACACCTCACACCCAGACTGGCAAAATGCCTTCCTGTTAAAAATGCACCAAGCAAATACTATAATAAAAGGATCATTTTTAGGTACAGTGTCCCTAATCATACAGGCTAAGTATAATCTGCAGGGTGAGCAACATTTCCTCTCAAAGACTCAAAAGAGGCAGCAGCAACACAGCTGGGCCTAGAAAGTATTTCAAGTACCAGGTAAACATCATGATCAAGGTGCGTCCCAGGAGGATCTTGTATCGAAACAGGTCCAAGAAGCTGCCAGCCTCTCTGGAGCTCCTCTCTGCTGGGAGTTTTAATGAGAAAGTGCACTTCTGCTTGCGGTTCCTCTTTGCGATGAGGTAGAGGGCATCTTCTGCTTCATTCAGCCGGCCTTGGGAATAAAGCCAGCGGGGGGACTCTGGAATGAATCTGAAACACACATACATACACACAGGATTTTTTCTTTCTGTGAGGCTGACTTGCCTATGGAAATGAAGCTGAAACACATTTGAGTGTAACAAAGAATTTTTCAAACAACCCTTCAGGTATAAAAATCACTTACTGAAACAGAGACAAGGCATACTGAAAGGAAAGGGAACATAAGTCATATGCAGTTTAGATACCAGGAAGTTATGTTGAATGTATACATACATACACATAACATACATGCACAATACTACACGTTACAGTATCATTAGGAGACCCTGTCTTCAGAGACTTAAGGATTCACCACGTTGTTACAAGTAACAGATGATGTTTTTGTAACACCAACTTGTCTTCCATTTCTTACTTCCCAACTTTTCCCCAAATTCTCTCCTGTCGACAGGAAGGCAGAGGCTGTGCAAAGGTCACGCTCTTGCTCCCCATGTGCACTGTTCACTTGATACATCTATAACTCCAACACAGTCTACAAAGCAAATCTATTACTTTCAGATTCCCAGAAGTAATTTAAGCTTTAGACTTTTGCCAGAAGGTTTGTAAGATTTTTGCCTTTGACCAGAAGTGACATTTTACCTTTAATTTTAAAGGAAAGTGAATCTGTGCTTTTATAAATGAAAAGAGCTTGGAAAGGAACAGGTTTTCTTTCCCACAATTAAAAAAAAACCAAACTGGTAGTATTTCCTGCACAAAGTAATTTTTAAGCAATGTAGGAGGGAGGCTGTGTGAAACTTGGAGTAAAAAAGTCCTTTCTTAGACTAAGATAAGCCTCTGAGCACAGCTCTGAAGTCCCATGAATAAGGCACTTCAAAAGACTGTATTTATCAATCTGAAAGCTAAAAAACTTTAACTTCATGAACTGCCTCTAAAGCTCTTCCCTAAGTTGTGATGCTTCCTTTTGAAAGGGTGTACTGACTCTTTAGCAAAGAGTTTTATTCAAGAAGTTATTGAAGTTAGAAGGAAAAAACCCTTAAGTTTAAACAGCAGCTGAAGTTATTTTCTTCTTTCAGTTACTGAGATTTTACTGTCAGGAAGTATGTAAGAAGAGAACACTGCATCATATAGCTTTCAGTGATGGAATCCACAAACACAGACCCCTGGTGTCTTAATAAAGAAGCCTTCTTCCTATTCCTTCTTAATCGTATTTGAAAAAATAAAAGGAAGCTACCTATTTTTATTTCATGCTACCTTTAAGACTGTATGTGCAAGCAATTTTAACACTGTTCCTTCTGGGTTAGCACAATTGTAAGAGAAGCATCATGTTATCATAAACCCACATAAATACTTCTGTATCTCTTAACGTGTATATATAGCATCTTGTAGCATACCAGACCAGTTTAGACCTACGCATGCCAGTTAAAAAACAGGATGTGCTTCTGCACCATACTTGAGACTGCATCTCATCTACAGTAATAATGCATATAGAATAGTGTACACTTACAGTTTCAAATACTGCAGCAATACTATTTAAAGGAAGTACAGAACATGGAGTGGCAGAGGTTGAGAGAAATACCTTAACTACACCATTTCATGCCATCCTAAAAAGGCACCTTGACTTCGTAGTTTGGTTTGTTCAATGGTTTTGTTTGTTTCTTGGTTTTGACATCTTTCTTGATGGAACTCAGTTTGAAAAATAACTTACAGAGAGAGGAGGAAGACAACCGTTCCTTCCAGGTTAACCACAACAGCCAGCGTCCTCCAGGAACGAATGAAGTACCCTAATAACGCATACTGGGCAATTCCCACAGCAAAGAACAAGCCACCAATAGATCCTAGCGTACAATTAGAAACAAAACAAAACATTATTACTCCTGTAAGGAACATTACCGACTCTCAACACATGGAATCAGACAAACTAACACTTCATTAAGAAAAGGTCACTCCACAATACAGGCAAAACCACAGCTATTTGACCAAAGAATATTGTGTCCTTCACCGATGCAGGGCAGAAGTATTACACCTAACTGCAAAGGTCACTACAAGCCCAAATCACTCTTCTGAATCCTCCTCACCCAAAGAAGCCCCATAAACAATTGAATCTTGCAATTCCAAATGTATGTTTCAGCTTTGTATGTGTAAAAATAAATACCATTAGAAAACTGGTACTTTCAGAAGTATGTAGTATTCATTTGTAGTTCTCATGATTTTCAAGATACTCTATTTTAAGACAATCTCAACATAGCACTTTTGGACTTCATCACAGACTGGATGAGGCCCCAGAGGCGTAACTGAACAATTTATGCACATCACATCTGAAGGACAGCTTCAAACCTAACAACCAAGACAGTTATAGGTGTTGATATCTTCTGTTCTAAATTCTAAGGTTGGTTACCGCATGGCAGCTGTCTCATCTTCCCATTATATAAAAACACTTTTGATTTTTTTGAGAACTGCCAGGAATGAAAGAACTGCTATTAGCACACAAACACTAAACTCCATTTAGCACAGTCCAACATTGTGATGGATAGAGCTCAGCTACTGCGAACTTTGGATGAGTAATTTAGCTGTCTAACATTCACAAGAGATGTTTCAACTGGACCTTTGTCAACTTCAGTGATGCAGAAATCTGAATGGCCCCAAGTCATCTAGTGTGTTTGTCTAAGGTTCATATTAGACAGAGCAAGACTCAGACTGTGGTCACACAGATGCTCAAGCAGAGTTAAATTTGCAGCTGCTATGGTGTTAGCTCTGCTGTGTCAACTGTGTAAAACTGAAATCTACCTGGCAGTAAAGACACTGGCACTCAAACTTTACCTGCTAATGCCCAGTAAGCAGTACCCACACACTCATTCAGTAGAACAAAGGCCACCAGTGACATCCCACCATTCATCATCCCTACCAAGAAGCGAGAGATGGCAAAGAATTCGTATGAGGGTGAGAATCCATTTGCAATGGCAAACAAGATGTCAAGAGCAAAACCTAGAAAACAAGGCAAAAGGTTCCATTTCAGAAGATTACCTAAAGAAAACCAGAAGCATTTATCAGTATCTTTACTTGAAGTTCAGTGGCATCTGTCCTAAGTAACACAATCAACAACTACAACACAGGTTTGGGCAGAAATTTAAGTACCTACAGTCAGTATCATAAACTGGGGGACACAAAAAGGAGTGGTTTCGGACAGCTAGTTTGCAGTCCTAAACCTTCAAATTCGGTTCACAACAGATTTTTTTCATATACTCAGAACTACTGTCTGGCTCCAGTTAAGTTGGTTTGATATTTATCCCCATACAGAAGAAACAGATGAAACACACGACCAAGTATCTCCTCTCATTTTTCAAAAGCAGTCTATGCAAACTAGTGATGAGAAACATTACCAGGGGTGGTATATGGGGAGTTTGCACTGCATAGCAAGCCCACCTTTATCTGCTTTGAATGAAGTTTTCCTTTAAGAAAAATAATCTGTTTCTAGCTCTACATGCTACCCTATTGACACACAACTTCATAAATACACCCATAAAACATGAAGTTCCAATTTTTGTTTGATCTGGGGACAATAAAAAAAGCTTTTGAGCTTTAAAACACAATGAAGAACACACATAAATAAAATTTACCTCCTGTCTGCATGATTTAATCAGTACAGCAAATTCCTAGCAGGTTATACATTAAGAACATCGCCAGTAAGTTATCAGGAATATTAATTGCAACATGTGGAGATCTCATGAGCATGATATGCATGAGTGTATGCCCATATGGTATGATACCTAAATACAGAACACCTCCCAGATATTCAGATGGTGACTGAACAAATACTAATTTCTTGCTCCTGCTTATATTCCTGAAGTATACTGGAAGGACAAAACAAAACCAAAAATTACAGCATATGATTCACTACTACATATTAAGCTCTTGGCAGAAACTGGGCTCTTGCCACCTCTTCAGAGCCACACCACCTCCACTTCATTCATGTTGTTAGGTGGCACTGGTTACCTGTGAGATAGACTTTCTTCCTCCCGAAGCGGTCAGAGAGCTGGCCAAAGGAGATGGCTCCAACGAACACACCACTGAAGTAGAAAGAACTGGCAGCACTCACTTTGTATGATGTGTTGCCGATTAAAAACCACTGGATGGAGGAAAAAGAGTGAATTAACCAGAATCCAAGCAGTTCAGCAATAGCTAATAGTTGGGGGGGGGGAATGACACATACTTGAAGGAAGATCAAGCTTTGTGTAAATATCCTTAGCATCACATTCAGTCGCCAAACACAACTCCTACTCGGTGGTACTAAACGAACTGCACAGTTCCTCCAAATCATGTGCAGTCTTTGATTCTAAAATCCAGGACAGATCCCTTGGAATACTGTCATTTTTGCAGCCTTCTCCCAGTCTTCCTTTTATCGCCTTTTCTCACATAAATCTAACTCAGACTCAGTCCTACCTCATGACACTAGTGTAGGTACACTATGCAAAAATAAAAATTGTGGTGTATGTCCAAAGATAATCCTGCATATGCTCCTCCTTATAGAATAACAGAATGGTTTGGGTTGGAAAGGACCTTAAGATCATCCAGTTCCAAACCCCTGCCATGCACAGGGGGGCCTCACACTAGACCATGTTACCCAAGGCTCCGTCCACCCTGGCCTTGAACACTGCCAGGGATGGAGCATTCACCACTTCTTTGGGCAATCTGTTCCAGTGCCTCACCACCCTCACAGTAAAGAACTTCTTCCTTGTACCTAACTTGAACTTCCTGTTTAATGTATATGCTTATACACTTCTTTACGAGTCTTGTCACTGAGAAACACTTTGGTAGCATTAGCCAAGTTTTCTGGCTAAATTTGCAAATACTCATCTCTTTTATAGTGTACTTCATGTCATTTCCAGTTCTTCTCCATTCTAAATACAAACCCGACCTGTTTGATTCTTACAGACTTCATGTCTCAGGTTAAACCTGACAGGAAATTTCCCTCCACACATCTGTAGAATGAACAGATGCCATGCTCTCACTGTTCAAAAGTGAGAGTTTTTAGAATACAAAAGGAAATACCTTGTGCTCTTTACTTTTGCTACTCTGCTTGTATCTTGAGATAATGTATCATTTTACTGACACCCAACTTTTCTTCCTCTGCTGGTAAACTCGTGATTATGTCATTATCCCTGTAATAACACTCTAATCTTCTCCTCATAATCTTCTCTTCCTCTACCAAAATCCCATTAGATATCCTTTCTAGCAAAGCTTGTATTATTTCAAAGCTCAGTTATGAACTACTTCACCATGCGTGCATAGCCATGCAATTAAACCTCACCAAGATTAGGGAGCTAGCAAAACAAAATCATTCAGAAGCTCCAAGAAAATAACTTGCTTACTCTCAGTATATGCTTCATTTTGAATTGTCACTTTAATGGTGAGGTGTTTACTGATACAGTAGGTAATGTGCCCATAAAGCATCAACATTGACAAAATTCACTTCTAAAACCAACCACGTGACCAGAAATCAGCTTTAGAAGCCTCTCTAGATTTTAAAATCAATTCTCAGAAAAATACATTTGTACAATAATAGCAGATGAGATTAATTTTATCTTGAAATAACATGGCCAGTGTGCTCTGTAAGAGTTAGAAGAATCAGACCCTAACTTTCAGTATACAAAAGCTGCCAGAACTCAAACTCGAGACGCTTTCTGAATCATTCAGGGATTAACTCATAATTTGGTTGCAAAGCAATATTTGAGCTGCAAATTAATCTCAACAGCTATGCAGCCCTTTAAAGGGCTCTAGGCTTTCCTCTTCTACATAAAGCATGTTACATACATATGTTTGATTTTCACAACTTAACCTTTTTACATTGGATTATATTTCAGTGTCGGTTTTCAATGGTCCCCTTATTCAGACGTAACGCCACAAAACATGCATGAAAAACATCCTCCTCAAATGTAGAAAAGACTTCTTTATACATCAGTAATGAAATTAGTGATGAGAACCACCAAGTAAGTGTGATCTCACTTTTTTAGCACATAACTTCCAAATACACCACATACTCAGGTAAAAACCTTTAAGGAAATGTATTTTAACAGTTGGAAATGGGAGAGGTAACAAGATTTTATACACATGGGCCTTTATTGAGAAGTTTGTTAAGGAGCTAAAAAGCAGGATCTACAGAAGTTAGCTTGGGATTTCTTTTTGGTTTGTATTTTTCAAGTAAACTTTGTTCTTTACCTGCATTTCTTATTTATGCAACTAAAATGCACAAGAATATAAAGTTTAAGTCCTAAAGCATTCATAGGCTCCACAAACGTGTCTGACTTGTCAAGTTGAAGATTCTTGGATAAATAACAAGCAAAAAAGAAAAAGCTTAGAGAAAGTTTGAAAACCTTTCTGAGCTTTAAATCACGCTTAAGAAATTCCACCACTCATTAGGATTTTAAATTAAATTGTGGCATATATACTCATACTCTCTTTATTACGAGAATGAGCAGCAATACCTGTTGTACATAACTGCTTGGAACTGTTTCAAAGCTAGCAGCTTTTACTAATGTGCTCCTAACCAATAAAGTTAAGTGCTTTGCAGGGCTACTTCAAATTGCATTAATACCTCTGGACAACACCCCTGAATTATCAAGTGGTACTACACTCAACTCAACTGTACAGCTCTAAATTCAGGTCTTTCAGAGATGTACTCAGGGCTCTTTCACAGAAGAATTTGACATTCACAGAGACTGAAGGGCCCAGGAAGGAACGGTGTTGCACAAATCAGTGCAGAGTCTTGAATCATTTCTGTAGGGACTGTGGCTAGATTATGAAAGAAGACACAAAACACAAAGGCTATGCCAATCAGGCTAAAGCTTGTTTGGAGATAGAATGGGAGGAGCTGCTTTGTCCACCTGATTCCCCACAGATCACATCTTCCCTCATATTTGGAGCTGCAAAAACTGCAGAAGCATCTTCCTCTCCAGTTCCTCCACCGCTTGCTCACTGCATGAGGGATGCACTACACGCACCTGACCTTAGCAAGGGAATCACAAGAGGTGGCCAAAAAGAGCTCAGGGTCCATAATGGATTTTGAGCATGCTAGGATGACAAATGGCATGATTCCAGCTCAGTTGTAGAACCAGACTACAGGCTACGTAACTTTGACATGGAAGAAGTGGGAAGTTTTGGAGCAGAACTTTGCTCAAGATCTGAACAGTAAAGTAAAGCTAGTTTTTGTTCCTGCTACAGATAGGAGTAGATTACCTGTTCTCGACCTGGAGGTAGCACCCATTTCACTTGTTAACCAAAACGCGCATTAGTATGACAGCAAGAAGCAGTACAACCAGCCCCTTGTTACCAATCCAGTAAGATTTCCTGCTCACACATGAGGCAGCAAAACCCATTTCAGACTTACCTCAGAGACTATCGATGTGAAGCTGCTGCTGAAGTGTACGTGCTTATGCACCTCACTGCCATTGGCGGTCAGAAGCCATTCCCCAAAAGCTCTCTGCTCGCTCACTGACTGGTTGCCATGGCTCTGATTAGCTGAGAGCTCTTGGAGATCCCAGTGGTAGGGAGGAGTTGCGCCCACCAACGCGATGAGGATGGCTTCAGTGGCCACATAGAGCTGGCATAAAAGACAAAACCCATCAAAGATGCTAAACATGAATCATCTGTGGCTGCATCAAATCCATATTAAGAAATAATCCTATTTTATATTCACCTTCTATCAATACAAGGTGCCATGTATAGCCCCCATTACCAAATATCACACACTACAGAACCACAACACAGTGGTTTATTGCACTTGTTAATCTGTTGATTATTGGAGAGAAAAGAAGTTCCCCTCCTGACACCCTTCCCTCAGTCAGAGGCCCCCTAACTCACACACAGCAAGTAAACCATCTGGATATTATTAGTACTAAGGAGATAAAATAAAACTGTTATTTAATGCAAGTATATTACTCTGTTGTATCCTCTTCTTCCACCTGTGTTGTTCATTTCTCTAATTTGATATTTGGAACAGATCTGCTCCTCATTGTCCCTTATCTAAACTTCCCCAGTTTTACCAAAATTAATTCTTTCCTTTTTTTTTTTTTAATCTTCTGTGAACCTCTTTTACTGTAAAAAAATAAAAATAAAAAATTTGTACTGACACGAGGTCTAAATAAAGCAAATTAACAGTTTTGGCACTGTTTAGGAAAGAATAAATAAAATTGCTGGAAACCAGACATTTCAAGCCTGGTATAGAGCTGCCCCACTGCTGACTGTGAATGATGAGCATTCACAGGCCACTGCTTTAACAGACTACATTACAACTGGCTTAAAACCCACGTGCTTTTAGACCTGTTGGAACACAGAAGTGGCACAAGTTCTACAACACAAGACAATATAAAGGCTGAGAGACAAAAAGAGTTGCTGGTAACAACACAAAGACCCCTTACTCGCCAAATAAAACCACCTCTTGTCTCAAGCTCTCACTGTGGAACAGTAACCCAACACAGTATCTCCTGAAAAACAAGCAAACAAAAAGTCCTGTCACTTATCCTGCTATGTCTCCCATTAAAAAAAACCCCAAACCCTCAGGCATGTCACTCCATCCCTCAAACCCCACTTCAGCCACCTCCTGAATGCAGTCCTTGCTCTGCTCTTAGCACCTCCTCCATTTGTTCTTGGGAAGAATGTACCTGCAGGGAGGTGTTCTCTCAGAAGGCTGCTACAAAAACAAGTCTCAAACCTGGAAAGACCACAGATAGGCACAAAAAAAAGTCTGAGGAGCGCTGAATTTTGATGTAAGCACCCCCAGGTAATCTGATTCTGCTCTGTACAGCAGTTACACCCAGACCTAAAAGAGAATTGCCACTAAACTAACAGAGACCCTCTGAGTTATTACCTGAAAGCATTTTCTTTCCATGAGCTCCTTTTTGCATTCTACATGAGAAAACTATTTACCTCCCGCCACAGTTCAAGAAAATCAATCTGTTTCAACTTTTTAGCATGAAATTATTGAATAATCAAAATGAATTTAGAAGAAAATCCGCAATCTCTTTACTCTGTTATTAAGCTAAAGGACAACTAGACAGACTACGATGAAAAGTACAAGAACTCATCTAGGAAAGAAAGCAGTGACTGAGATTACATGGAGAAAGAGGTGTTAAAAAGCTAAGTGTCCATGTTGCTAGGGATGTGTGACTGCAGTACTCAAGAACAGTTTGAAATGAGAATTCCAGGTGATGATCTGTGATGCATCCCTGTGCTCTGACTCACTCAGACAATTCCGCATCAGGACTAAGTAATAACATCTTTGCTTTTGTCTTGTGAAATAATAAACATACTTTTGAAGTAGTTCAGGAAATGAAACCCTCAAAGCATTTGGTTTAGAGAGCACAAGCATAATGCTTTTCATTTTCGTTTGAGGTGAAACCTACCCCACCTGCAAAAAACTAAATCAAAATACAAGTGGCAGCAGCACACAAAGAAACACTACAGATGGTTTTTAATGAAAAAAATTTACCCTTAAGCATCCTAGTGGCTGCAGTAAGCAAGGATATGTAAGCAAAGATAGAAACACTTTCAACTGACCTGTTGAATCAGGAAATGCATGAATAGAGACATGTTTTGGTGTTATCCAATCGTAGGAATAGTCAAGAAAGTTAAATGACATTAAGCATCAAGACTCCTCAGTTGAACACCAGCAGTACAGCTCCATCAATGCCATGCCAGGAATGCCACTCCACTCTTTTTATGTAAAGAAGGACTTATATGAGGCCCAAGCAAAAAAAGTGCCAGAAGTTCCCATCCCAGTTTACAAATACATTACAAACCAGCCCAGGACTGAACTCTCTCAATGGCATTATAGGATAACATGAACAAAACATCAGGAACTGCTGGTAAAAGAAGGCAAAAATTTTGGGATGACAAGTAGCAGGCACAATGTAGTCCTGCTTCAACAAGCAGGATTATTCTTCTGTCTGCATTTCACCTTTCTCTCCTATCTTTCAGCCTGCTTTGGCTAAAAATATAACTGAGTCACAGCTTTGTAAGAGGTCAAAGTCCTCACCTTAGCACTCTGGTCTGGGACACTGCCAAAGAATAGTGGGTGAGCCTCTTGGTCTCAGAGGGAGTTCACCTAAGACTATGAGAAAAGCATTCTCAGCTGTGCCTCGACTTCCTTGCTACCAAAGGACTAAAGCTTTTAACATGGTAAAAAGATGCAATAAAAGCATAGACCGTATGCTAAATTCTGGTGTTTATTGCATCAGAAGTTTCTGACATTTAAATATCCAGACAAAAAGAAGGACATTGCTGGTATTTACTGCATGTAGTTCTGGTGTCCTCAGCATAAGAAGGACATGGAGCTGCTGGAACAAGTCCAGAGGAGGCCACGAGGATGCTCAGGGGCTGCAGCACTTCTCGTATGAAGACAGGCTGAGAAACTTGGGGCTGTTCAGCCTGGGGAAGAGAAGGCTGCGTGGAGACTTCAGAGCAGCTTCCAGTGTCTTAAGGGGTCTACAAGGATGCTGGAGAGGGACCCTTCATCAGGGACTGTAGTGATAGGACAAGGGGTGATGGGTTCAAACTGGAAAAAAAGGGGAAGTTCAGGTTAGATATAACGAAGAAGGTCTTTACTGTGAGCATGGTGAGGCACTGGAACAGGTTGCCCAAAGAAGTGGTGAATGCTCCATCCCTGGCAGTGTTAGGCCAAGTTAGACAGAGCCTTGGGTGACATGGTCCAGTGTGAGGTGTCCCTGCCCATGGCAGGGGGTTAGAAGAAGATGATCTTACGGTCCTTTCCAACCAAAGCTATTCCATGATTTTATGATGTGTATAAGCTGCACAAGCAGAAAGCTGGAATAAGCTATACATACAATTCTCTTCAGCTTTCCTTACCCAAGGATCTCAAAAGCTTCATTGTGCCTTCCAAGGCAAATTCTTAACACCCTTTCCCCTCAAAGCTCAGCGGGATTAGCAAAATAACCAGGTGAACTCAAATACAATGTTTAACCTGGTTAAATCCCAAACTTAGAGGTAATACTGTAAACAGACAAGACCTAGAAAACAGATCCTATTGCTCTAGAGGGACTCCAGTCCCACTGGGCTGACACTTTGAAACAGCAAGCAGAGGTTTTACTCAATGCAAACAATGTGCATGAAGCACTATAATACCTCTAGGCAATATGTAAAGGTGTATATAATTATATAGTAGGTGTATAGAGGTTAACTACTTCAGAAAACTCCCAAAACCAAGTTGATGGTGTGGCTTGCTTATGGAAAAACACAGATAATTTACTGCCTACAAAACACAGGAAATTAGACTGTGTACGCATGGAAATGGAAGGGAGATAATGTGTCATAATACAAATATTTTTAATCCATAGTCTTTGCTATGCAGTAGAATTATGTTAACTCCGAGGCTCACTTTCCAAGGGTGCTAAGAGGGCAGTCGGGCTAGGTGGAATATCTCAGCAGTCTACCAGGCTGAAAGCCATCTTCATTAATGCAGAAGATAGGATTGCTTCAGCTCCCACTGAATCCAAACACCAGCCACTGCAGAAAATATTTTATGTAACAATAACCTTATTGTTACCAATGTAAAAACATCTCCCCACACTCCATACGAAGACAACAATCACCACTGACATTGTGCCTCCCAGGCACCTTCCAACCCAGCTGTTAAAAAGACATTGCAAAAGCAAATTCAGCCACAGCTACAGAGCCCCAGAGCCAGTTCCTTCTGACAACTTCACTCTTTACACAGCACGCAGCCCTCACTTTTTAAAATAGATTCTTTTATTTTTTAATAGACACAACAATCTGCTTCCTTCCCTGTGCTGCTACGCCTTCAGAATGCCTTCTCCCAAAGCTCATGCATCTTGCTATGCCCATCAGCAGTAATTCTGTTAAGATCTTTACAACAGCACACTGAACAGGCATCTTCTAGGACTAGACAGAAATTGAAGTCAGCCTAGTAAGTTAAGCCACAAAAACTGACTGGATGGATGTGTTGATACAGATGTATACACACAGAACATGTGACTGCAATGTCTGAGTGAATCTAGTGATGATTAGAAGAGCAAAAGACCTAGCAGCTGTGAATGACACTTTGAGAACTACCTAAATAAAGAGCTCAATTACATGCGCTTTGCAGTTCAGATGCACCTGAAGAATGGAAGGTCCCAAAGCTGCAGCTCATGTTTGATGCCTCAAGCTCACTCTGACCACACTTTCCCCCTGAACACAAGCCATAAATTGGAGAGTGCACTGGGTTAGATTAAGACACAACAGAAGACTGAGATGTAGGCAGCTGATAAGGTATTCATGACACCCCCTTCACTCAGGATGATTTCTGGAAAAGTGACAAGAAGTTAACTATTTAAAAGAGTCTTAGCATCTAAATCATTGAAATTAAATGTAACAGGTGACTGAAGTAGTACACTTTCTCCCTTCAGAGATGTGCCATGCACAAATGGAGCAAATGGGTTTTCACTTAGAAGTTCCACCAATTTTGAGGTGGAGATATTCTTAGTTAAATGAGCAGCAGTATCTCTTTGTGTGATTAGTTTACATACTTACACTCACCTTGCTTATTTTGCTTCCCAAGCAGGACGTAAGCTATACCAAAAGAAGGAACTACATTCAGTGATGCAACTACTCTAAAAGGCTTCATCGCTTCTGCAAGTAAAGCCACACCATCCTTTAGCATGTTCCAAGTAAGATGCAATGCACAAAAAGATGTAGGAATAAGAAGCTTACCTCAAGAAATAAAAATTTTGGCCCCTCCTTTTTATGTCTGTATTCATGCCATGTTTGAAACCACACCTCTGTGTAAGAGGCTGCACATCTGACACACATTCTGTAACTTTCTTGAGAATCTGAGGGACTTAAAACTTTTACTTCTCCCATAGACATCAAGAAAAAAAGCCAAACAGGAAGGTAATCAAAGGAAGGTACACAGCAATTCTGTAAATCATTTTTCTATCTGCCACCTTGCTTACATACCTTACAGGTACTTATAGTTGAACTCAGGCACACTGCAAGTAATTTTGGGTAAACAGCATACCTGTCATGAAGCCTCTGGAATAACTTCAACACCCTATACTAGCAATCTGTGCTAAAGCCACCTTTTCCCTTCATTTTAAATTGTTCATTACATTTCAGATTTGGTTTGTACTTTCTATTCAGATAAAGCCCTACTCAGGGACTGGGAATAAGTTGCCCAATGCATGATCACTTCTGGCTAGTTCAAAGAACAGCTTAACAGACTCACACAAATGTAAGTATTAAGCTAAGACTTGCCGACAAACTATTTTATTACCATCATTACAACTACAGAGTGATGTCTCATGCCACTAAAGACACAGAATGTGTATATGGGGGCGGTAGATAAAAATAATGCCAAGAAACAGAGTCATAGCCTTGTCAAAAAATGAAGCTATGCCTGGGATCACATCTCTATCCTATCTGCAGACAGGCACCACTACTGTAGAATTATTTTGGGACGAGCCTGCCTTACTTACGCCACAAGCCCCAGAATCTGCTTTCCCTTAAAACACTTGTGCAGTTGGGCTGTTTAAAAGCAGCTTTCTGCATTGGGATATTCCAATGATAGATATTATACATGATCTTGCTGCCAACAGCAAAGAGATATTAGCAGCACTACTCATTAGAGCTGCACTGCATCAAGAATGCCTTTGCCTTAAACCAAACTATTATTCAAGAAACTTGATGTTACCATCCTGTTTTTCCATCTTCCCTTCAGCTAATAATAAGTTGGAGAGAAAGAAACACCACCTTGGTAATTATCCAGACTGCTGTGCAATACACATTACCCAACTTCAGGCAAAACCTTTTTCAGCTGTGCAAACAATACCTCCCTTTTCAACTCCAACATGTTTTAACATGCCTTTTAATAGAGTAAAACACATTTCCATTCTCAGATTTCTGCAGGTTTAAAAGACACCATTCTTTAATAATGCTTCAATAGAATTTCTTCAGAAGGTAGTGAACACTTTTCTAGTAATCAATAGGTATCAAGCAATGACTTTTAGTTCAAAGTAATGTCCTAAGTATTCCAAGAGTTACCAGCTTCCCTTTATTCCTCTCTCACCCTCTTAAAGGTACAGTGGAAAGGCAAGACTAATCTGGCCTCAAATTCATGTTGTTAGACTATCCCTACATTCTTTCAGATAATTTCTGTCTTCAGGTAATTCCACAGATTTCAGGAAAAAAAAAAGTTTCTCTACATTAACTATTGTCACTCCATTATGAAGTTATTAGAACATTCCTAGAAGTCTTCCAAAGTCCCATTAAGTTGGTAGTGGCTAAGCCAGGATTACCTTAATACAATAACAGCTCAATGAGTTCATGAGTAACACTGGCAGGTAGCAGAGCAGTAATACAGATCGGCAAAGAAATGAAAGCAGCAGCCTGTAAGACTTACTTAATCTAGTTTTACACTGATGACGTGCAAACCCATTTTTGTGACTACAAGCAACCTGCAGGTTTTTCGCCACTGTCAGTAAGCTCATTCCACAGGTCAAGAACCAGTACACTGAAGCCCATTGACTACCATGTGGAAAGTCTCCCCCATGCAGACACAGTTGTTTGGTACAACTTGGCTGAAAGAAGCTCTGTGAGCTAAACTATGTTTGTAATTTGAATTCAGAGTCAAGAGACATCGGCATCTCAGTACGAGTACATGGCAGAAGTAGTTTACTGGAGCAATCTGTACGAGCAGAAAACCACTAAAATGTTGGAAAATACCTAGAAAGTATGAAATTCAAAAGATGAGAAAGATGAATCAATGAAAAGGCACAAAAGCCTTTCAAGGAAAGCAAGAACATCTGCTGGGGATCTTACGGGGCGGGGAAAGCAGAGTTTAAGCTCAGTATATCAGAATCAGTGATGAAGGGACTTGACACAGTAGACAAAAGCAGTTCACACCCATATGGTATTCTTATCTCTAAGTACATACAAAGGTTTTTTTTATACTAATAGCCAAATGTGAAAACACAAAGGAACTGAGGGAGAACATGGGAAGGGACAGGGAAACAAGCAATTGTGGCACCCATACCCACCTGGACAAAGCCCTCAAGAGCTTCCCGCTACAGACAAATGCCTGGATGAGCTTCCCTGCATGCACAGCTCTTGTCCCAGCCACGTGGTGAGCTGGTGGGTGAAGGAGTGAGGAAGTTGGGACCCTGAGCCCATGAGGGGCTACATAACTATACCTGACCACAGCTCAGATTCAACCGGGGTATAAAAGAGACCAGAGGCACATGGAGTCAGTCCTCCTTGGAGGAGTGGGCCTGAAGTTGGGGACTCTCCCCTTGGGTCAGTATACCATCCAAGGTAACATGACATGTTACCTCCCTTTTTAGGTGAGGGTGATTGCACATTTTGGATCACTGGCCCTAAAGTTTAAGAATCAGCAGTGTGGTGCCAAAACCATGGGACATACGGAATCTGCAGTCAGTGTTGGTGGAGCTTTGAGTTTGCACAAAAACTTCATTTAGCCTCAATTTACTGGTTCTGTGACAGCAATAAAAGAGAATAATCAGCTCATGGCAGAACCAGTGACAGAAACTAACAGCTCTTCTGCAGCCAGATGGTGCATCTTGTCCACTAAAGGAGCCCATGATTACCTAGCTCTATGGTGTCACATCCCAGTGACACATTATGTAACTTGGCACCAATAAAGGAACACAGAAAGCAATCAAACACCCAAGCAGGAACCAGTTGTGCAAGTCCAAATCTATTCACAGTCTGACAGACAAACTTCACATCCAAATCCTCTACAAACTCCTGCGCCTGCATGATCTGAAGCAAAGAACCCTATCAGTCAGGGGATGGTCCTCATTGGTAAAGTTCAAGAATTAAAGGTAACTTAAGAAGAAAGAAAAAACAACCTGCAAACCTGATAACTTTTTTCCTTTAGTTATTCTGAATTAGTTCCAAGATTTGTAAAGATCTTTCTTTACTTCTTCCAGTAGAAATGCAAGCTAAACCAGTGAAGAGAAAACAAAGCAGGCATCTGAATTTTCTTTGGTCATAGAATCTGCTTAATACTTCTGTCTGGCCCCTAGCTGCCCAGAGAAGATTGGCGCTGTTCAGCATGGAGAAGAGAAGCTGTGCAGAGCCTTCAGAGCTGCTTCCAGTATCCTAAGGGGGCTACAAGGATGCTGGAGAAGGACTCTTCATCAGGGACTGTAGTGTCAAGAGGTGACGGGCTCAAACTGAAACAGGAAGTTCAGGTTAGACATAAGGAAGAAGTTCTTTACTGTGAGGGTGGCGAGGCACTGGAATGGGTTGCCTAAGGAAGTTGTGGATGCTCCACCCCTGGCAGTATTCAAGGCCAGGTTGGACAGAGCCTTAGGTGGCATGGCAGTGGCAGGGGGTTGAAACTAGGTGATCTTCAGGTCCTTTCCAACCCAAATCATTCTATGATTCAATGACACTTAAGTTTGTCCCCCTCTTCCCTCCTGCAGCTAGGTAGGTTTCCACAGTGGCAGTAACCCAGTGCTCCTCAGCCTAGCTGAAATCACTAACTGTTAAGCTTTAACACTGAGTAAACTAAACCTCTCTCAGATTCAAACTACACTTTATGTCTTGACCTAACTGTAGAGATGCACATATTATCCTCATCTCCCCTCTGCACCACAAGGGAGCGGGAACAAAGACAAAGCAAAGCTGAAAACAAAGACAAACCTGGCTGCAGAGCATATCACTTGGTCATGGAGCCTCTGAACAACATCATAGCTCTCCACTATTACTTTGGACTCCAATTTTATTATGAAACTTAAGAAAGCCACAGTTTTGCATCTCACAGATTACAAATGTGACTACCCAAAACGTAAAGCGTTGTGCCAAACACCTGATGCTGAGACCCTACATCTTAAGAGTTAAGTCAAGGCAAACCAAAGCACCATAACCAATCACAGCCCATCAACTGATTAGATGGGAGCTTCCGCACAGAGGTACCTGTGACCTCTGCTTTTTAAACGCTTCCACCACAAACAAGCCACACACAACCTAGAATTCACTCCCCTAGGCCACCGACTCTAAGTTGCACAGGATTCCCAGCACAGCCTATGACAGCAGTCGCTGCCTTCCAGTCTAGCTCACGGAAATCTCAGTTTAATTCCACCCCACTGCAGCTCACAAACTGCACACTCCCAATTTGCTCACCGAGTGAGACAAAGCATAACCCTTAAGGCAACAGCCAGCGTCATGCACTCGCCCCACATTCACTTGGGTGCGTGCCCTCCTCCCGGCACCGCATCCCGTGGGGAAAGGGGCAGGACGGGCAGGCTATGTCTCACCTGCAGCAGCACGGCCAGCAGGACGCACAGGTACACCTGGTAGGGCCCCATCTGCCCCACCAGCGGGAACGCCTCCTCCACCTCCATCCCGCTCTCCCACCCGACGCGCAGCTCCGGCCGCCCGACAGCGCATTCCCGGCCCGGGGCGGGGCGCGGAGCGGAGCAGCCGCCGCGTCCTCACTGAAGAAGAGGAGCAGGAGGAAGAAAGGGCGGGATGCGGCACTCGCACGCAGGCGCCGGGATGGGGAGGAAACGGCCCGCCCCGGGCCGCGCGCGCAGAGATTCCTCCTTCCCGAGCGCCAGGCTGGGAAGCGGAAGCGCGGCCGCTGCCGCGTTCCTGGGATGAGGACCAGTGCAAGCGCACGTCCCCCGTGTTAAATGAGGGCGGGGGATGCTATTGGCTGCCCTCGGGGTCCGAAGGGGGGTGTGTGTGGAGGGATAAGGGCTCTGGGGTGGGTGTAAGGGATGTGAGGGATCTGGGGTGTGGATGGGCGAAGAGGTGTAAGGGATGTGAGGGAGATGTGAGGGATCAGGGGTGTGGGTGAGCCAAGAGGTGTAAGGGATGTGAGGGATCTGGGGTGTGGATGGGCGAGGAGGTGTAAGGGATGTGAGGGATCTGGGGTGTGGATGGGCGAGGAGGTGTAAGGGATGTGTAAGAGGTCGTGTGTGTGTGTGTGTGTTTGTAAAAGTAAAGGACGTGTAAGGGATGTGAAGGGGTGTAAAGGACGTGTAAGGGGTCTGGGGGGTATGTAAAGGATGTGTGAGGGGTCTAGGAGCAGATGTATAAGGGGTGTAAGGGATCTGAGGGATGTGTGTGTAGGGATATGTGAGGGTTGTCAGGGAGGTGGCACAGAAGTGGCTGGGTGGCTTACAGTGAGCCAGACTGGGGAGATGGGTGCTAAGTGGTGGTGTGTGGTGTTCTTTATGAGGTGCAGCAGCTTTGGTCACAGTTGTTTGGAAGGGGAGGAGGACAAAGGCATTAATGCTGGACCCTTGATCGGACCAAGTCAGCATGCTGGCCCTGTGTGCTTGGCAGGAAGGCTAGTCTGGGTTCATTGTGGTTCTAGGTGTTGTGGCATTCTCCATACAGCAGCTTAGCCCTGATCTGGTTTCATCAGAAGAGCGCAGCTAAGTTACAGTCTGCCCTTGGTGGTATTGCATCTTTACTGAACAGTGCTAGCCCTGTGTGTGGGAAGCTGTACCCACATAGTTCATGTTTCTTGCATACCTCAACACACTGCTGACATACCTCAACTGTGATTATACTTCATAGCATATGTGCTGGTAGTTGAAAAAAGTGCATTTTATATGAAACTGCTGTAGCTAGAGTTCAGTTCTGGACCTACACAGATTGTGATGCTCCTGCTTTAATGCCTAATGAGGACATGACTGTCACAGCAATCTTCACAAATAACTGTAATGTGTGGTGTGAAAAGTATTTGCCATTTATTTGGAGAGCCTTCACTGTGAACATGCAGTAGAAGTTCTGATTTAGTAGTAATGGGGCTGGATTTTGGAGGAACATGAACTCCACAGAGCGGGAAGGGAGATAAATACATGTATGAATAATAATCTTCATGCAAAGTGCCAATGAGCTTGTCACGGTCTGTTTTCATTCCGCCTTTACAGTAAAGCTCCAGGAACATGAAACAACTTGGATTGTTCAGTCTTTTTTCACCTTGTCATACCAAAAAGCAGCAGCAGCAGCAACATCTTTATGCTTATGGCTTTTATGGTATGAACAACAGCTGGAGAGAAAGGAAGAGAGTCATTGTGAGATGTGGCCTTTAAGACCATGCCAGGAGCCTGGGAAATAGTACCATTTCCTTGCTGTAAAGATCTTGGCAAATTGACAAGCATCAAAGCAATTTACTCTTAATATGAAATTCACCTTTGCCCTAAGCACTTCTTTTCATATTTGAGGCTTAGTACAGATTGATTAAAGGTAAAACAGCAAAGGATTTCTGAAATGTCAGGACCTTTCTGGTGTGCACCCAACCGCACTTGTCAATTTTATTACTTGGCAAAGATGCAGAGGGGGTTTCCTGAGGGTGCCCAGGACACTCAGTGTCCTCTTCCCACACCCTTCCTGCCCTCCCAGTCAGTTCAGCTGCATTCTGTGGTAACTGCAGCTTTATTCCAGCTTGCCCAGCAGTGGGGAGGGCTGTTGCCATCAACTCTCAGCCCCTTCTGGAGCTGAGGTGAGCAGAGTTAAGAGAAGGTGATGGTACTTGCTCCCTGCCAGGAGGGCACTACCTCCTGAACCCATCTGCTCCCTTATTCTGTCCCCAGGCATTTCTCTCTCCTGGGACCTCCAGCACCCCTCTCTAGTAGTTTTCCATCCTATGTTCACTGCTTCCTTACAGCCACCTGAGCTACAGGCTTGCCAAATTGCTTGCTGGGCAGCAATTGGGACTGGTTGTGCTTTGCCACATAACCTCCGTGTGGTGCTGCCTTCCAGTCAGTTTTTGATTGGAAGGGACCTTAAAGCTCAACCAGTTCCAACCCCCTGCCACGGGCAGGGGCACCTTCCACTAGACCAGGTTGCTCCAAGCTCCGTCCAACCTGACTTTGGAAACTACCAGGGATGGGGCAGCCACAGCTTCTCTGGGCACCCTGTGCCAGCGCCTCTCCACACTCACAATAAAGAACTTCTTCTTTGTATCTAACCTGAACTTCCCCTCTTTCAGTTTGAATCCATCACCCCTTGTCCTATCACTACAGTCCCTGATGAAGAGTTCCTCTCCAGCATCCTTATAGATCCTATTCAGACACTGGAAGCTGCTCTGAAGTCTCCACACAGCTTCTCTTCTCCATGCTGAACAGCCCCAACTTTCTCAGCCTGTCTTCATAGGAGAGCTGCTCCAGCATGAGTGTTGGCAGAAGGGGCATTGTTTTGGGCTCAGCCTGGAGGATGGGGCTTGACTGGTGTCTGTCTATGGGACACTGACCAGAGGTATGAAGCAAAGAACCCAGGTGTGGTGTAGGGAAAGAAATGGAAGAACTGGCTGAGTAAAGTAAAATACCTGTTAACCATTGCCCTAACCCCCCCCACCCCCCCAGGTTGCTTCATGTCCCATTCTACAATGACCATGTGGTGAATTTAAAGGAAAACAGGCTTTTTAGTCTTCCTGGTTTTATTGCCAGTGAAATCATTGCATCCACCACCCTCATGGGGGTTGTTGTCTGCCCCATGAGGCTGATGGAAAGGATTGGATGCAATGTTCAGAGGTTTCAGCATTTTGTCAACCTAATGATAGCGCTGCGCTCTACTTGCCCAGTGGTCTTTCCTCACAGGAGCCCTCAGATCTGCCCAGAGTATTATCATCTATGAAGTTCATTAAGGTGCAATTTGCTCTCTCCTCCTCCTCATTAATAATCATGTCAAATAAGAATAATCTTAACAATCCTGTCTGTGGGGAATTTTAATGAGAGCGATTCAGGCTTCTTCCTTAGACATAAATATGGTATCCCCCCAGGGTTTCCCACATTGCTCCCAACCCCCTTCCATTACTACTGCTTCATGGTTTTGTTGCTCTTTAGAGTGTCAAGTTCACGTGGGCATCCCAAAACTGAGACAGCTGCATGGCTTCTTTTCCAGCCCTTCTGAAATAATGTATGCTCAGTCCCTTTCTGCCTGTCTGTAATGATGGCCCAGAGCAGTCAAAGCACTAGATATACATACATGCAAAGGGATACCCCTAAGTGAAGTTCCTCCTTAAAAACGGGAAAGAAAAAGTTTAATCAGATATTTTAAGAGCTAAAAACTTCAGCTGGTTCATTGTGTTTCTGATTCTGTCACATTAATTTGTAGAAGATTCTGATGTGGCTGTTAATTTGGCTTGGAAATGCAGCCAATAATACTTTGGAAAAAAAACCCTTAAGAGAACTATGGATGTTCCTATCTTCTGGGTGAGAATTTCTCACTGGGTCAGAGGGTGGCCACACAAGCCATTGATTCAGCACTTAGCACAGTGGAGATCTTAAGGAGATCTTCTCCTGGTGGAGGAAGTTTCAGCTCATCCATCAGTGGATGTCTGTGAGTAAGCTGTGAAACTCCTTACTCTGGGCTGCGGCAGATGCCAGAGGATCAAGTGAGTTCAAGCGAAAGGCTCAACAAGTACACAGAAGGAAAGTCTGCTGAGGTTTGTCTAACACAAAGAGGAAACATCTCTGGCAGCGGAAAGTCCTGAGAAATAAATTATTCAAAGCTGATATCTGGAGGAAATACCCTCTCGTCTTATACTCCTGTCTTTCTGGCCACAGCAGGAAATGGGGTTTGGGGCAAAAAGGGCATTTGCTCTCCTGCTGCACAGTCACTTTCGTGATGTTGCACTTCATCGGGTTCTCATCCCCTCCTGACCTCCATCCCCTTAATGCACAGGAGGTTTCCACCACGTCAGCTAAGCTGAATGCTGAACGACTGAGCTCTGGCTGAAGCAATGAGACTGGGAGCTATGGGAAGAGGTGGTGGAAACCTCTTCCATAAGAATGTACAAGGGTTATAGTTCATAAAACCAGTTAGTATTAAATAGCCTTGAGCTAAAGGAGGGTCCCTCCTTTAGGACAGAAATAAAGCAGAGGTTCTCTTGCTCTCTTAGCTTCACCTCATCCACAGGAGCAGTAATAGGGGCTGATGGTACCTGCTGGAATGTTTGATTTTGCTGGCCCCCTCTTATGGAAAATGAAGGTTTTTCCAACCAAACTAATCGGCTGCACGTTGCAGCTGGCTTACCCCGTGAATACTACACAAAGCTAGCATATGGCTCATTACAATATACACTAAGTGTGCAGCCAAACAAGCCACCAAGGCATTTTTACTTCTCTGATGTGCTGTTTGCACTTTTTGCAAACAAAGCAACAAACAATTCCTTTGGAGGCACTCGTCAATTTTAGATGAGGCTTGGGGATGCTGGATTTCTGACTGTGTGTTGTAACTGTGAATGATGTTAAAGCCGATTCCCTCTCCCTTGGTAGATGGACAGTTTTCTGCTGCAAACCAGTTTAGGTTCCGTATCTCTGACATCAGCTTTATGTATCTGTGACAGTGGATGGATAGTTGCTCTCAATACTGCCCTGGTCATGTCCCAAGATTCATATCTGCATCCAGCACCTTTCTTGGCCAACAGTGTCTGCAACTACTGTCCTGATAGTGCTCAGTTTCCCATTGATTAGACATTACCTGCGGTCTCTGCCCTGAGGTGGGAGCTCTGGTTTCTCAGCAAACACCTTCAAGGGTTTCAGGCTGAGCAAGGAGTTTATAAACCACACTTTTGTGCTTAAACATACTGAAAACTGAGGCAAAAAGAAAATCGATGTAGTCCTAAGAGGCAG